CCTCCCTTGGGCTGCAAGGCCTCTTCGGGTGTACTGTTTTCTCTTGCCTCCGCGTGGCTCTTTTCACCCCCTGGCCATGGATCAAGCGGAGAGATTTCTAGAGGCACTACCCTTGAGGAGAGCCAGCTACTCCTGTAGATTAGCCACATTCCAAGCTGCCAAGCACAGGCGGTACTCCAGGGAGTACATGAAGGGAAACCCTCAATTCCTGCTTCCTCTGCTCCAGAACTCTTTTCCAGCCTTGGAGATAGGAGGTAATCAGGCTTCTCTGGGCCAGAGTGAGCAGCAAAGTACCATCTCCATGGGCTGGCTCTGCCCTCCCCGAGCCCTGGCTTCATCACTCTAATTTTGGAAGTAATACATACTTATTGTTCTATGAATCTCCAAGGTCAAGGTCTCTCCAGAAATCAAGGCATTTAAATTTTCACCTCTCCCCTCTGGTCCCCAGGCTGTCATCTGGCACATAGAGGAACAAAGTTGGGTATTACTCTCTTACACCAATCCTGAGTGATACTACCTACGTAGGGCCTTATTTGCTACTCAAATGGACTAGGGTTGGGGAGGGGGATAGCAGAGGCCGGCGATCAGGTTTCCCCAGCAATACACACACATTCAGGTTATAAACAGTATTACTATTGCAACTAACAACTTTGTACAGAAACATGCACACACTGCAGATTATTCCTTTTCTTTATTGTTTTTGTTTAGAGAGAGAGAGAGAGAATGAGCCAGAGAGAGGGGCAGAGAGAGAGAGAGAGAGTGAATCCCAAGCCCACTCCATGCTCAGTGCAGAACTCGACATGTGGCTCCATCCCATGACCCTAGGATCATGACCAGAGCCAAAATCAAGAATCAAATGCTCAACTAACTGAGCCACCCAGGTGCCCCATTTTATTTCTTTAGGAAAAATTCCTAGAACATTGGTTAAAATTATTTAAGTTTATGTATTTATTTTGAGAGAGACAGAGACAGTGCAAGTGGGGAAGGGGCAGAGAGAAAGAGGGAGACAGAGAATCCCAAGCAGGCTTCACATTCACAGTGGGGCTTGAACCCACAAAACTGTTGAGATCGTGACCTGAGCTGAAACCAAGAGTCAGACGCTTAACTGATTGAGCCACGCAGGCACCCCAAACTTATTTTTAATTGGCCACATTTCAATTTGGAAACAAACTCCTGCCAGAACAGTTTTACTGGTTTATTCTGACACCAAGCCTGAGAACGCTCCTGTCCCACACAGCATCACCAACATGGGGTATTATCATTCCTTACCTCTCTGCATCTAAGTGATAAGATCTCACTTTCTCCTATTTTTATTAACCATTTATATCTCTTTATCTGATTTTCACTAATGTGTCCAACATGTGGTTTTGGTTTTGGTTTAACAGGGGGATGGGCGATCTTCTGACATAAAACATTTGTTTGAGAAGTATGCGTGCCATGCCCATGGTACATTCTCAGAAGCACAAACCAAAGGAGATACGGTGACAAGTAGGTTTCCCTCTCTCTGACTCTGAGTGCCAGGGTCTCGTTCTCCATTTATATCATCAGTGTACCCTAAGACTGGGATTACGGCTCGGATTCACAAAGACTGAGGCTGAAGCCAAATGCTGGTCCCCCTGTTCATGGTTAAGGGTCACTGGAGTACTCCTATCCCCACTCCAGACACCAATTCCTCTGTAGTATTCCTGGGAAGCTACGTTGCGAATCAGAACGTTCTTGGTAAACGGAGTATACAAGAACGGAAACAGAGTCTTAAGGGAGATCTTGTCTAGTGTAGGAATGTTTGCCCCACACGTTCGATGTTCCTTTGTCTGAGCAATGCCAGAGGGTGCCAGACTCTTGCTGACTCTTCTTCCACTTGATTCCACTCTGACTAGACCCCTCTGTAAATACATCCCTTTCCAGGGGCGCCTGGGTGGCGCAGTCGGTTAAGCGGCCGACTTCAGCCAGGTCACGATCTCGCGGTCCGTGAGTTCGAGCCCCGTGTCGGGCTCTGGGCTGATGGCTCAGAGCCTGGAGCCTGTTTCCGATTCTGTGTCTCCCTCTCTCTCTGCCCCTCCCCCGTTCATGCTCTGTCTCTCTCTGTCCCAAAAATAAATAAACGTTGAAAAAAAAAATACATCCCTTTTCAGACCCTTAAATCAGAACTTGATTAACTTTGCAGGTTTTGCTTGAGGTTACTTTTTTTTTGTACAGAAATGTGATTTCATTTCCATTTTCTCAGTGTAATTCTCAAAGTTCAGCCTTAATTCTCCTTCCAAGCTCCCGGGAAACACATCACTACAGGAAGCTCTGTGTGGACTACAACAACGTACCTAATTGCTAAAGAACCAATGTATCATCATGTTATTTAAAAACCTTTTCAGGGGCGCCTGGGTGGCTCAGTTGGTTAAGCGTCCTACTCTTGGTTTCAGTTCAGGTCATGATCTCGTGGTTTCATGAGTTTGGGCCCCATGTTGTGCTCTGTGCTGGCAGCACAGAGCCCGCTTGGGATTCTCTCTCTTCCCTGCCCCTCGCCACTTGCGCGGTCTCTGTCTCTCAAAATAAATACATAAACTTAAAAAAAAAGCCTTTTCAATTATGAAGCTCATACTTTCTGAGCACTTCTATTATGCTCAGGTGTTGTATGACATAGTATCTCATTTAATCATCCTAATAATGACATGAGGTAGTTATGCTCATTGTTCCTATTTTGCAGGGATGGAAACTGAGGCCTCGAGAGGTTAAATAAGGAATCCAAGATGTTAGAGCTGTTAAGGTGTTGGGAGCAATTTCAACCCACACCGCCCAACTCCAGACTCCTGCCTTAACTGCCGTGCTAATTTTGGAAGAAATGCACACCCACTGGAATAAGAAAAATATAGACGAGCATAAAGAGGAAAAAATTACCCTTGGCTCACCAACCCAAGATGAACACTCAAAATGTGCACGTGTCCTTATTGCTCTCTTCGGTATGTTTTTAATAATGACATTGTCTTACATATAGTTTTGTATCCTGTTTTTATTTTATCTTTTATTTTTATTTTATTTTTGGGAGAGAGAGAGCACAAGTGGGAAAGGGGCAGAGAGAGAGGGAGACACAGAATCTGAAGCAGGCTCCAGGCTCTGCACTATTGGCACAAAGCCTGACGCAGGACTCGAACTCACAGACGGTGAGATCATGACCTGAGCTGAAATTGGACGCTTGACCGCCTGAGCCACCCAGGCGCCCCTGTATCCCTATTTTCAAAAAAATGTTTATTTATTGGGACACCTGGGTGGCTCCGTTGGTTGAGCATTTTGACTTCGGCTCAGGTCATAATCTCATGGTTCGTAAGTTTAAGCCCCACATTGGTCTTGCTGCCATCAGCTCAGAGTCTGCTTCGGATCCTCTGTCCCCCTCTCTCTGCCCCTACCCTGCTTGTGCTCTACCAAAAAAAAATTTTTTTTATGTTTATTTATTTAATGGGGGGTGGGAGGCTCACGAGCGAGGGAGGGGCAGAGAGAGAAAGGGAGAGAGAGAATCCCAAGCAGGCTCTGCACTGTCAGTGCAGAGCCAAACACGGGGCTCAATCCATGAACCGTGACATCATGACCTGAGCTGAAATCAAGAGTCTGACACTTAAGCCACTGAGCCACAGAGCTGCCCCGCAAGCTTTCAAGCTCCCTTCTTGATCTACTTGCATAGTTCTGGTAGTTAGAAGGTCTAGGGAAGATTTTGTTTCCTCTCCCATTTCAGAGGTAGCCCTCTCTCTCTGGTTATTCATTGAGTTAATACCACAATTTCACTTCTGGTCATTGGAAACTGTGCTTATATCTTTGTAATGAGACCAAAGTTCAAAGGAAAGGGCCAGGAGAGCCTCTTACTCTTGGTGAAAGGGCCAGAAATCAAAATCAAGAGAATGTGAGCCCCGAATGAGATATCCCTGATATAAGAATAGCGTTAAATAAAAGCCCAAAGGAAGAGGGGGAAAGACGACTGCTCGAGCACTACCGTGATTCTATGATGAATGTGCTTTGAGTCTAGACCTCCGCGTACCAGGCTGTCAGCTGTTCTTGCACATCTCTGCCTTGACTCCATCTGGCGAGTAGCCGAGTTTGTCCTTCTCATTCTTCCACCTCTGCTTTCGCAACCTTTCTCCTTCCTCCCGGGACCCCCAGATACCTCTTTTGTAACCCATTCCCAGAAGGCCTAGCTCTTTGCTGTCCACAGATGTCATTTGAGGCGGACGCTCTTAGTTATCTATTCGACATCTGTTCTACTGCTTTCTCTTTTCCAACGGAGCCATGATTTTGTGAGGGTCAAAGGCCAGGGGAAGGTGGGTCCTTCCACCAGTGCTAGGCGGTGAACCACGGTTGATCAAAATCAATTACGATAGCTATAGTCTTTTTGCTCTTGAGAATGACTGGTTTAGGATGGGTAGGTACCTGGTACACTGCACATCTGCATGTATTATGTGGATTCCATTGTCACCTCCGCCAACATGCCAAGAATGGCAGAGGAGAAACATGGAGGCATTGGGACCTTGGTGTCACTGACAAACTGGATTAACCAACCTTTACCTGCCCTACTTTTGAACATAGTTTTCTTGGGTTTTCTGTTACTTGCAACTGAAACCACACTAGCTGATATTCCTCCCATTCCCACTACTTATTTTGTCAATTCCAATGACTCTGTTCCGGTAACCATGCAACCATTTCTTGAGGAACCCTTTAGCTACACGCACATGCTTGACACCAGAATAAGAAAGCATACTGAGACTTATCCAGAATTTTCTATTACTTATTATCTCAATTGTTTTTTCACCTTTGAACATCGACACCTTTGTAAACGGACAACTTACTTGAAACCACTCTCTGAGGAGAAGCATCCGGAGCTCTTTGAAGCTGAGAAAAGCAAAGTTGTAATATTAACCAAGGTACCCCAAGCAATTAGTGGCAAAGCGTGGGAAGGAGCTCAATGTTAAATTCCAAATCCCTACACCACGGCACCCAGTCCGTCAAGTGTAAACTATGTGGCGATGGGGCCGGACGAATGTGAGGTATTAGGAGGCATACGTGTCTCACGCACGAAGCAAGCCTATTGCTCTATTCCCGCTTGAGGTTCGCTGTGGCTGAGCTTGATCTGGCTCAGCTGGGCTGCAGCCACAGGTCACGAGAAAACATCGCATGCGAGACTACTAACCGGCCGAAGCTGATCTGAACTTTGTCCACGCAGAAGACACCCCTTTTCACTCCACCGCCCCACAGTCCGCCCCAGATACAACGGACTTGATTGCGCAGGCCGAGACTAGGACGTGCACTCCTGGCCACTCCCTCACCTCACCCCGTCCGCACCGACGTTTCGGATCCACAGGGGACACTGCCGCTCGAACCCACATTTCAGGGCCGACAGTCTTTCGGGTTCTGGAGTCTCCCGGTCTTGCTTTCTTTATTCCCTGAAACGTTACGTCGCTCTGGGATCACCCTATCTCTTCACACCCTACCTATTCACTTACCTGCCTGCAGGTAAGCGGGCAGGAGCTCACCCCGGAGACCCAGGAAGCGGATCCGGAAATACTTGCTTCGAGAGATGGATGAAAAACCACATTTCCCAGCACGCTCCGTGAGAGAGCTGTCCTCCCTTAGCGGGCTCGATTGGTCAACAGACGAGAAGGACTGCCCCTTCGGAGGCAGCGGTGGCCAATCACAGGGCAGAGTTTCGAAAACGCAAGGGGGCGTGCCGTTTCCGGAGGCTTTCCCGGCAGCTCCCACGTAAAGGAGCGTGGGAATCTAGCAGTGCCTCGGGCTCTAGGTCTGGAGAGTCAGTGGGGCGTCGGCCTCTGCTCCTTCTCTCCGGGTACGGGAGATTGTGTAGGATCGTTAGTCTCACAGCGGTAGGTGGCACCTGGCCGGCCCGGGATCGGCCCCTCCGAGGCTGAGCCACGAAGAGCGGTCGGCTCAGGTTTTAAAGGGGTTGGAAAAGCGAGGGAGCCCTGGGAGTGCAGGCAATTGGCCCCTCTGGGGGTTATTCTCTCTCCTCCCAGATCTGTCCCGAAGTCAGTGTGTCGACTTGAGGAAGGCATTCCCCTCCCCCACCCCGAGATGGAGTCCACGCTCCCGACAACCGGGGCCCAGGTAAGACTAGGTCCCTTCTCGGGGTCCCCGTTCCTCTCGATATTTTCCAGCCTCTACCTGTCCTTCTTTGGAAGAGGGTTAGGAACGCCCCTTTCTGTGGGAGGGCTCCTCATCCCCCAAAAGCCCTTTGACCGAGCTGTCTTTGTTCCTAGACCAGGCGCTTGGGAGAAATGGCTCCTCAAAATCTTTCTGAACCGCCAACTGGGAGCAGGGCCCATTGGTAAAGGCTATGAGTATCTCAAAGTGTCTTTCTGGAATGTTGCTCCAACTGAAGATTTCTAGGGTCACCCCACACCTTTTGAATAAATACAGAAACAAACACAACAAACAAAACCCCAGGTGATTCTTAATCACATCGAGGCTCTATTGGTTTATAACACTGGTAAACTGAACGAAGGAGGACAAGGCCTGGATGTGATTCTAAAGAGAGCTTAGCAGTGAGTGTCATGTGGAAGGAGAGAGACTAGCAAGGAGTAGAAGTCTCTTCTAGAACTTCTCACAGTTCACCGTCTTGGTGCTTATACCACTGCCTCAAAAATTATGTCTATTTTCACTCCTTTCTTTCCTCCCTCCCCTAGGATCCAGAACCTGTTTTTTTTTTTTTTTTTACCTGCATACATAACGATGTCTCAGCATGAGGAACCTTCATCCTCAGCACTCAGGAACCTTTGACACCAAGCCCGTTTCTTCCTTGGTCTGATGTTTCTAGCTCTTCCCCACCTACACTGAGTGAGGGGGTGGCCTTGGGGCCTTTTGTCCTGAGATGGGCTCTAATGTTGTTTCAGGGACCGATGCTGTTTGAGGATCTGGCTGTGTTTTTTTCTCAAGAGGAGCGTGTGTGTCTGCACTCTGTCCAGAGGTCCCTCAGCAGAGACACTACACAGGAGTGTTTCGAGGAGATGGCCTTGATGGGTAAGGCAGTTATTTTTCCTGCATTTTGGAACTTTGGTCAGTTCTAGGAGCAGGATTTCATGTCTCGTTGACATGTTGGTATGGGGCAGTGGGACCTATCTGGGTGATCTATGTGGATATGATAAGAACTTGCATGACAGAACTTTGCGGTTTTCAAAGGATGAGTTGATCTCTTAAGACAGAAAATCCAATCTAGTTCAGTGACTATGGTTTTGCATGAAACCTGGCAGTACCTACTAATCTTCCCAAATATTTGTTATAGTCAGTTTACAGTTTTACTTGCAAAACCTCATGAGTGTAGGTTACTATCATTTGTTAAAGATTCAAAATTAATTTACTCTTAAAGGGGTGCTATGCCTTTTTCACCTAAGGGGAACTGTATGCAGAAACGTTCCCATGCCGGAGTGGTGTTTGTCTCTGACTAGGATTGACTCTTAGAACTATATCGTATCAGAGTTACAGGTATTCTAACATTCTTTCTATTTTTACCATCTGTGTCATTTCTAGATCTGTTTCTGTTAATTGATTGTGCTCCTACTTATGGGTCATAGTTTTCTGCTTCTTTACCTGTCTAATAACTTTTGTTTGGATGCTAGACATTGTCAGTTTCATGTTGTTGGATGTTGGCTTTTGTTGTACTTTTTAAAGTATTTTTGGACTTTGCATTTAAGTTATTTGAGATCAGTGTGATCCTTTCAGGGCTTGCTTTTTGCTTTGTTGGGGTGTATTCAGAGCAGCCTTTAGTCTAGGGCTGATCTGACCTGCTGCTCAGGCAGTCTTTCTGAGGATACTGCCCAATGCCTTGTGTGTTCCACTTTGGCTGGTGGAGAACATGAACTATTGAACTATTGTGTGAACTCTGAAGCTTGTTCTATCCCTTTTTGATGATTCTTTTTCCAGTCTGGGGTAGTTTTCTCACATGCACTTAAAGACTAACACTCAGCCAAAGTCTTAAGGGGACCCTATCTAGATGCCCAGAGCTCTGCCTGGGCACCTGTCTTGTCCCCAGTATTTTGCTGTCAAATCTTAGCCATCTTGGCATCCCTGAATTTGGTCTCCTCGAGTCAGTAAAACCATTGGGTATCATTTGAATTCCTACACTGCACTGCAACCCAGAAACCCTTCCTGGGCAGGGCACTGGGACAATCATAGGGCTGTTTCTCCAGAAGGACAGACTCTTTTTGTATTGACATGTTGGCTTTATAAATTAAGAATATTTGGACAGATGTTAAAAAGGAATGCTTTTTGGCAGGCCCAAGGTTTGTTAGCTATCCTAGGAGCGAGACTGGTTCTTACTTGGCTGCTGCATGCATGGCAGCTCTACATTGATCTTTCCTCGGGGAGAGGTAAAGAAATTTTGAAGAACTCTCCTAGTGACAATAAAACTATTTGTAATAAGCACAGTGTTTCTCTGCTAGGTAGAAAAATCCTTACTTGCTCTCTCTTTTTCTCTCTTCAAAATGAACCCCAGTCTCTCTTCCAGTTGTGGTTGCTCAGCTGTCACTTGAGATCGCATAAATGATGAAAAGTTCTGGAGACATAGGAGACTAACTGGAAACCCCCTGTAGGCAGTGTGTACCAAGAGTGCCCTTAGTTCCTATCCCACTGGACCCTGACTTAGTTATAGCTCTTTTCTCCTTCCACCCCTCACAGGCTCACCTACCACCAGATCCTTGGGGAAGCCAGTAGAGCCTGCTGGCCTGATTTTGTACAGTGTATCAGTGTCTGGGTTCTAGGATAAGCCGTCTACAGTTTCTCGGTCCTCTGTGTAACTAGCTTCTTTCCCAGTACCACCTGAGGGTGCTGTCTATGTTTTGCTTTCTTTTGTTTTTATCTGCAGGAGGGAAAGGCAAGACTGAGATTACTCAGCAGTTAAATCTAGACTCTATGGGAGTTGAGGAACTGGCCCCAGAAAACTCCTCCATTGCTGTGCCCCTTGTCTATTACCCAGAAAAATCTTCTGAGACTGGAGGTGGAGACCCTGAAAGGAAAGTACCAGGTGGAACTCCTGCTTGCAAGAAAAGGTTCATAAGCCTATTAGTTACCATCGAAAACCATACCCCATTAATAGACCCACCTCAATGTCTAGAAACTACAGCACTTTCTGAAATTCTTGAATTTTCTGGGGAAGAAGCCAAAAATTTGTATAAGTGTCCTGAATGTGACCAAAGCTTCAGTGATAATTCATACCTTGTCTTGCATCAGAAAACTCATTCAGGAGAGAAGAAGTATAAACGTGGTGACTGTGGCAAGATTTTCAATCACAGAGCTAACCTGAGGACACACAGGAGAAGCCACGCTGGCGAGAAGCCTTATAAGTGTGCTGAGTGCGGCAGCAGCTTCCGCCAGCACTCACATCTGTCTCGGCACATGAATAGCCACGTAAAGGAGACGCCCCACACATGTGGCATCTGTGGGAGAGGTTCTTTGTGGCCCCCAGGGTTGGCACAGCATCAGAAAACCCACGCTGCCAAAAAAGTCTGTGAATGTACCGACTGTTGTAAAGGTTTCGGTCAGAAGACAAATCTTGCTTTGCGTGAGGAAACACACACATCAGCCACCCAGTACCCGTGCACTCAGTGTGTGAAGTGCTTTGGACAGCCCTCACACTCTGTCCTCCCCGAGCAGGGCCACGAGGATGACTGTGAGGACGACGCCGAACACTGCGGTGACTGCAGAGAAAATTTGCTTTTGTTCTCAAAATTCAAACCCTTAAAATGTCCTGAGTGCGCAGTGACCTTCCTCCGTGTCTCTGAGCTTATTTCCCATCAGAGCATTCACAGAGGGGAAAAGCCCCATAAATGTAAAACATGTACAAAGAGCTTTATTTTGGACTCAGAGCTCGCATGCCACCAGAAGAGCCACACAGGAGAGGAGCCTTTTAAATGTACCACGTGTGGGAAAAAGTTTCAGGTTGAATAGACATCTCGTTATTCATCAGCAAACCCATAAGAAAACCACCATGTAAATATAGCCAGTTTGCATTCCTACTCTGCTTTTCCAGTATCTGTACTGAAAACCAGGGAGGAGTTGTCCTTTATATGCCAGACACGTGACACACATTCCGTGCCCTGCACCCCAACCTTGCTTTGGGCACTGTGATTTCTACTTTATAACCGAGGAAGCATAATCATTGTCACAGCCAGTGAATGAAGCCAGGATTCAGTAACTCACTCACTGTTCAGATACCATTAGGATGAGCCACATAATGATACAGAACTTTTTTTAAATTCAGTTTTCATTAAACTGAAAGTTTTGCTGGAGTTGTTTTAATTTTGTTACATGGTTTGTAAGTTAACTTCTGGAAGGAGAAGAATTTTGTTTTATTTTTTGCCAGTTCTGCAGATCTCGTATCTAGGAAAGTAATGCATCTCTGTGTTACGCTTTTTTTGACTATAACTATCTGAATGTAACATTTGTTCTGAGAGCTGATATTTCACTTGCTAGTTTCTGAAGTGGTTTGGAAGCTTGTATTTCTGGTGTGGAAAGTTCCTAAATAGGTGGACAGGTTGGTGTTATGATGCTGATTAGTATCTTTGGAGTTCCCATTCTGAGATCTGATGTCACTGGCCTTTCTGACTCATTTGCAAGGAATTTTGACAGTCTGACTGTAGCCCTTTCTGGTGCCTGGACTTGAGTGAAAGTTACTTGCTTCCCTCTGAAAGGATTTACCTCTAAGTCTCTACCAAAGCACATTACCTGCCTTTCTTTGAGTAATAGTAACTGGTGTTTAGTGAACCTGGTATATTATCTAATTTAATCTGCAGGATAAATCTGACAGAGAAAGGGCTATCCTTGTTTCATAAATGAGGAAACTGAAGCCCACAGAGGGTAAAGTCAAAGTCAGTACGTTGCCCAAGACGAAAATAGCAATGTACTGAAGCCAGCATTTAACCTTGGGTCCCTCTGACGGTAAAGGTTGTGCATTCTTCAATTTTGTTGTGTGTTGGCTTTGTGTTGGGGCTGCAAGCCACCAGGGAGGCCGAGCTGGGTGGATGAGAGCGGTCATCACGGAGGCTACCCCGTGCACATGCATCCTAGAACCCCTCCACTGCCCTGTGCTTTATCCCAAGCCTGACTTACATGTATGGTTATAAAGCAAAAGAAAGATTCCCCAAGACTTCCAGTTCAAATTCCCATCCCTGTGACCAGATCAGAGACTGCAGACTCTACAGAGTACAGTCCTTATGGTTTTAGTTGGGTTTTGGTTTAAAAAACAAAATGCCCTCTTCATCTCCAAAGAAAAATACATACAGAAAACGCTTAAGAGTTTCACCAAACTACCTGACACCACGTAAGTCTTTAGATACTGCCATTACATATAAATATTGGAGCAAGATACTCTTAAATGGGTTGGTCATTCATGTTAAAGAATCAGGGAATCTTGTAAAGATACATTCATACACGATTTCTCTTTAAAGAAAAACTGTGTACCTGTCAGCAAAGCTGTTTTTAAATGGACTTTCGATCAGGATGTGAGAATGGTCTTACTCTACTTAAACAGTATAGAAGTATGGCATTGACTAAAATGGGGTTGTCACTGGGAAACCGCATGAGCAATAGTACGCCTCTTTAGGCAAGTAGTACTTGGAAGATGTGGTTTTTCTACAGGACAGCAGGTTGAGAACTGAATATACAAAATGATGGAGGCTGCTGCTCTAAGCTCTTAACACTGTGCAGAGGCAAGAAACTATTCCTGGGGAGTAAGGGAAATGGAGACCCCAACCCAGCTCACTCCTAACTCCCTTTTTGTTGGTCTTGTTTCTTGTTGGCAGCTCCACAGTTGAGACCCTGTGATCTGAATGTCAGGGTCACGTTTGACTCTCTGTTTTGGATGTCTCCACTCAATACGAGACACCAGTCTGCTGGGGCTTTCGGATCTTAAATTAAAAAGTGAAGTTATCTGCAGGGTTTTCTTCAGCAAGTCTCTGGGGAGCTTAGAATTGTGTAGAAAGATGGTCTCTAGTTGGATTTCTTATCAGCCAACTTTGGGATGTACTTTGCTAAACACCAGAAAGTAATATCTGCCAGCTCCCCTGCTTCCGCCTTTGGTGGGAGCATTATCACGTATTAGGGGCTCTCCTGTTTCAGCCGAATGAACAGGGTTGCAGGGTGGGGAATGAAACTGGGAAAGAAGCCCCTGCTTGCCGAGTTGCTGCAGAAAGAAGTAGGGAAGGCTATCTTAGAAGGCACTTGTGCAGAATGGGGCTGACATAGGACATGGAAGCTGTCATCCTTTCCTTTGCTCCTAAGACAGTATGGGGGAGGGTAAGCCTTTATGCTGTAAGTGCTGTTCTGCACCTCACTGTGGGAAGTCACCTTTCCAGATGAGGCTTCCTTCACAATTAAATTCAGGTTTTACATTTTTCTTTATTCTCTAGATTTTGTAAGATTATGTCAAGCCTCCATAATTGATAAGAAAAATAGCATTTTTATAAAGACATTAACATACACAGAAGTGTAATTAAAATGCCTTTGTGGTGTAGTAACCATTGCTAACGACCAGTATGTAGAAAAAAAAAAAAATGAAAAACCAGTGTGAGTGTCAGTTACTGTGAAAGAGGCATATTTTCAATTGTTGCCTTATTGTGCATTTGCACGTAAACACACTTGCTGGATGTAATTCAAGCTGCTCTGAGCCCAAAGAGTTGGAAGAAAGGGTGAGTTCACCAATGAAATCCATGCTGTTTTTATGATGATGGCTTTTTTACCCTTCTGTTTACAGTGTCAACTGATGGAGATAGATTTCGCAGTTTGTCATGAAGTCAGAGATATTAGCCAACTATTTTAGTATTGACAAATACTAGATAAAATGATATATGCAGGAGTTTATCGTTAGGAGTGGTTGGTTCACTACCTTTTGCAGCATGGATGTTGACATACTATGCAGGGTGAGAACTGTGTACGAAGAAATTGACTTTTGAACAAATTTGATTTCTGTTGATGAGTAAAAAAAATGTGTATCAAACATGTCTTTAATGTGATTGCCTGAATATCATGGCGCATTAACAGCCATCATTGCTACAGACAGCATTATTCCAGTAGAATTCAGATGTCCAGTTTATATTTTATAACTAAAGAAATGGTGGAATTTAGTTGTTAATCCCCAAGGAGTTGGACTCAAAATAGTTCTGTTTAGAGCTTCGTTACAGTAGTTAATAGGCTATTCACATCTCCCCATTTAACGCAGAAAATGACTAACCCAGTATAAAGGGAGTTACAACCAAAAACAAGTTACATTTCACAGTAAATGGTGTTTTGAGTCTTTGACTTCTGAAATTCCATGTAATTACGTGGCATTGTTCTGATGACTGCAGCGTGTTATACGGTCTAATACCCCAGATTTTGCTTAATCTGCCAGTACTGCACATGTGTACAAAGTAGATTATAGTTTATCTAAATAGTCTATTTTGAATTGTTCATTAAACTTGTTGTCTTTATAGGATTTCAGTAGTAAAGTGTTTTTGCTTTGGCCGTCTGTTTAAAAAGTAAAAGTAACTAAATGGTCTTATTTGAAGTATGCCTACTCATCTGTTTTCGTTTTGTAGACTGAGAGAACTAATATCAGGATGATCACTACCCATCTTTTCACCGCCCATCTGACTACAGGTTTTTTGTCTTTTAGTTTTCAACATCCCTCCTTGCATTAACACTCTCGGGGGCGGGGGTGGGGGGGGGTGGAGGTAGTATAACATATACGTACATTTGTATAATCCTGAGAAAATGCTGCAATCTCTAGTTCCTCTGAATACCTCAGAAGTATGTTTGTTGTGTGCACTTGTACTGTCTAATGTTTTGATTTTACAGATTTTGGTATATTCTCATCACTCTTAGCTCCAGAATGCACGCTGTCACTAGGCTGTGATTGTCTATCTGACACGCGATTTGGCATCTAATAAATGCTATTCTTGATGATGCAATGAAGTGAACTTTTTCTTTTACACTGCAGTGGTTTTACATGGCAGCGAATTTTGAAAACTGGCGGGATTGTGGTTTGGAGTGTGAACGAGTGACTTCGAGCCACGTAATAATGGAGGTAAAAATCGCAAAGAAAAATTCCAGCGCGAACCGTGGGACCGCCCTGGACTTCGATGTCCCCTCCCGCCGCGGCGGTCCGGAGTCCGGCACCTCCGACCGCGCAACCAGGGGAGTGCCCTCGTGCTGCCCGCCCAGCGCCGGGGGTACCAGCCGCCCTCGCGCGGTTCGGCTCCCAGGGCCTCTGCGCGTTCAAGCGGCGCAGGCCGGCGGGAATGCCAGCGAGATGAGACGCGCTAGAGCGGCCCGCTGGGCTGGGAACAGGAAGTCGCGCGCTCACTTCCGGTGCCCTCTTCGGGTGGCGCGGCTGCGCGCTCCCGGGGCGGCAGTGGCGCGAATTGTGGCGGTTATCAGGCGGCTGTCCTGGCGGGGCCCCTGACCCACCCCCGTCACTCACCGCGGGGTGGTCTTCGCAGAAATTGGGCCGCGGCCCGGGAGAGTTTGCCACGGGTCCCTCAGGTCTTGCCCTCCGCGCCACGGGTGTGACTGTCTGGGACCGAACGATTCTCTGCCCCGCGACTCCAGGCACCGACCGCCCCGAGGGCAGGAGGAGCCCGTGCTACCTCCCCGGCGCGAGCCCTGCTTTGACAGTGCGAAACCGCGGGCACGCCTTGCTCGCGGGCCTTTGGCTTGTAGAAAGGGACGCTTTGTGCTTCTCTCTAGACCCGGCGCCAGTCTCCGTCTGCTTTCTGTGTGCCCCGCAGCCGAATTCTAACGTGCTTCTGTTACTTAGAGTATCCTGGGCTCACCTGACTACAGGGTCCCCCCCCCCGCCGCCAAGCGAGCTTCTCCACTCCTATGACTGCGAAGACGTCGCTTTATGTGTAGCCCAGATTTCTTCTCTCCCTGCGCTCCAGATCCCTATATTCACGTGTCTGTGAGACATC